TCGGCTTGTAACACAGATTTGCGAGAAGTGGACAGCTGTGCCATTCAGGCTGCTGTGTGGGCTGTTACTGAAACAGATCTGAGCGGTTCAGCCACATGCAGACTGACAGAACAATACAATACAGTAAGTGTAGAGAAGTGATATGTGACTCTTCTCTGAGCGGCTCTCAAATGCTGACTCACTCTCTCTGCCAGGGCGTACTACACAAAATAGGCACATATTACATAATGGCTAACTAGCATGAAGCAATACGTCACTCAAAATGTGTTTGTTACCATAAAAAGCAGAACTCAGAGCAGAAAAATCTATTTTATCAGTTTGAAAGTTTATTATGTAAGCTAGCTAATTGATGGCTGGGGTCAAAAGCTAAAAGCAACAAGTACGATTAGCTTAAAGACTTACTGTGGATAAACTGTGGAAATATAACCACATGGTTTTACTCTGTCATCGCGAGGCATCCTTCATCATACACAAAGGCCTAACATTCACACATGCACAATCAGGACCTATGAGCCAGAGATATCCACTTCCCAACCCAAGTCCATACAGATTGAACGTAATAAACTAAGCATGAATGTAGCTAACCTTTCTACCACGCATCCTTTCACTTAAGCTAGCAGGAGCCAAACACTAAGCTAAGGTTAATGGATATATCTGGGAATACAGAACTGGATAAACGGTTGTGAAAGATAGCTAGCTAAGAAATGTGCTAATATTCAAAACAGATACCTGACTCGAGGCCGATCATTTATCTATTAAGAAATTAAGACTTGTTGTTCTAGATCAGGGATTTGCAACTTTGGTCACAGCTAGGAGCCACATTCATTTGATTCTCACTGCCAGGGGGCCAAATTGTAGTATATAAAAACGATTACAGTCGATTATGTCTCAAATTTAACTCAACATATACCAGTGAGCAAATATTATTATGGACATATTTCTGGTTTTCATGATTTCACGGCAGATTTTGTCATCTTTTCTTCATGTTTCCAATTAATTGATATGTCAAAATTGAACCTGAGGGCCACGTTGAGGGTTGATGGGGGCCGCCAGTTGCCCACCCCTGTTCTAGATACTAGCTTAAATGTCATATTAGCCAAAGGTATTGAAAGAACTAACACTTGAAATGTTTAGCTAGGTAACTAAAAAGTCTGCTTGACATTGATATATACTGAAAGAAGTAGCTAACATGGATAACAGTGGAATCAGTTAGCTAGCTTTCGTTTATGTATGTTTGAAAGACACTGTTTTTTCTCAGCTTCTAAGTTGTAACTGAAAATGACCAAACCAAGGAAAACCATGACGTATAAATGTTAACATCAACGGTGTTAATATTATACATCTTAACATTGTGACTGTACTTTGGATAAAAGCATACTCTTCTCATATTGGGAGCTTTAAGCATCATGAATGGGAACCACTGACATGGAGAAACTTGCTATACTGGTTCACTGATGACCTTGGCACTGGATCCCTCGTCTGATCTCAGCTCTTGGACAGAAGTCAGACTTGCGGCTAATCCTGACAAATCTCAACAAAAAAACCTCTCGTCTTCTCCTGGAATTCTGGAGTGAGCTCGAGAGGATGGAGGGAGAGCGGAGTGATATGGGACATCTCAAGATGGAAAAGCCTCTTTTGGGCATGATTAGAGAGCTAATCTAACAGGGACGAGAAGCAGGCTAAGGGGGGAGAGATAGAGAGAGAGAGAGTGACAGACACAGACAGACAGAGAGAAAGCATCATCACAGCTCTGGTGTTTTTGGATCGTGGTCAGACAGAGGCTGAGCTCTCCATTCACAGGACGGCGACTGAAGAGCGCTCGAGATGATGAGCTCCCTTTGAGCCGCAATCAAAATGCTGCTCAGTTTTGTAGGCCGATGAGTGTGCAACATCAAACACCCTCTTTCCCTCTCTCTCATTTTCTTCCCCTCATTCTTATCCCCTCTCTCTCTCATTCTTTGTGCATTCAGTGGATGCCTAGCAGCTGCTGGTAATTAAAGGACTTTAGAGTCTCACACCACACTGAATCACAAGAAGAAGAAAGAGAGCGGGGAAGACTGAGACGCCACTCCTGGACAGCCTCTTTTCTGAATCCATCACATTCCCTCCTTCAAACTCGTCACTGCAAAAAAAAAAAGAAGCTAATGTCCATCTATGTTCCTAATTAGCCACCTTAGAAAGTTGCATTTCAATAAGAACACACGCACAAACATAAAGAAAAGGAGGGACACAGAAGAAAAGAGGGATGTATATTGTGGATGGCAGCTGAAAGAGAAGGGGGGGGGGTGATCAAAGCAAAGGGTGTTTATGCGTGGCAACCATCCCTCTCTGGAGTGTGGAGGAGCTTATTCCAGAGGGGAATGGTGTCTAAATGGGAGACAGCGCAGTGTTGAGATGTGCTGAGCTGAGAGGAGATGAGCGCTGTAGCTCACATGCTAGCTTTGGGAACATGGAAAAGAGTGGGGGGGGGGATATGATTTCAAAAAAATCAACAATGACTAAGGAATGGTTGGAGAAGAAGTGGAGGAACAGGAATGGGAAAAGGGGGCAGAAGGAAGCGGGAGTGATTACAGCTGTGGATGGCACCACGGCTGGCGAGAAATTTAATTTTGGATGTGGGGTGGGGGGGCTCTTCAGCAGAAGGGTGCAGCTGTTTTTGCTGCAGCAGTATTTGACACATACTTGCTTCTTCTTGCTGGTTGTGTTACACAGTAAGATCTTCATGCAAAGCTTAACTAAGCAGCAAATACCTCCAGGTCTCACAGCTATGATCTCAATTTATTTTTGCTGTGTCATAAGCTGGCAAATTAACAAGTTGGCTCCGGGTAAACAAGATAAGACAAGATCCGATAAAAAGCATTGATCCCAGGCAGGAGAAAATGTACTTTGCTAAAGCAGCGTTGATGCCTGTTTCCTTGAAATATCTTTTAAATACAAGAAGGGATAATTAACTGAGCATCTGCAACTCTGATAGAACATTCTAATCCCTTACTGCTTCAGAAATAAGATTGTGTTTCTAAGTTTTTTATGATTTATTTTTTCTTTTCTGGTCCTTGTGTAAACTGATGTGTCGCACTTGTAGCTGCTGTAGTAAAAACTAGGGAGATGTTGTTGTGGCGACTACAGCATAAGTGTAGATTTGAACCAGGAAGGTACACTGATTACTGACACTCTTTTCATGCATTCTTTGTAATGTCTACAAGTGGATAGATGTGTTTTCTGAGAGGCAGCATTGAAGTGAATGCTTTGTCAATAGTAGAAAATACATGCAAAGTGAAAGTGCATTAAAAAAGTTTTTTTTCACTTTTACAATTTAGCCAATTGAAGATTCTTTCTGTGGCAAATCGAAGTTTCTTTCTTGATTATGGCGTTTCCTTTTGTTTATCAGGTTCAAATTGAAAATGTACATACAAGTCGTCAACAGGACCAAAAGCAAAGAACAGTCAACTATTCTTTGAACTTTTTTTCCCCCGCCTGTGCAGTAACTCATCTGGCGCTGACAGGGGTCCTGCCATGCTCATTGCAGGGTCAGGGCAAGAGAAAGGGGGTATTAGGAGCAGAGACAGGTGGCACCAGGGTCTGCTGCGTGGAGAGAACAGATGGCTGATCTGACGTGAATCGGGGTGCTGACCCTTTTCTCCCGACGGTACAGTACAGCTCTCCACACAAGTGTTTGTGCATGTACACAGAAATCGGGAAAAAAAAAAAAAAACCATGTGCACGCACACACTCAGACCGAAGCCCTTACAGACACACTCAAGAACCAACCAGCTGTTTCTCGCTCACAGCTGCTTTCACCATAGCAGCCCCAGAACCCATTCACCGTTTAGCATCACCATCTCTTACACACTGTGGATGTTAAATTCCCACTCATCTTTTTTTTTTTTTATTCCCTTCCTTACCACACCTACACAAAAAAAAGCATATGATTAACAGCCTAGCGCTGAGGCTAATGTTGTGGTAAATGATCCCTGTGTGAAGGCACGCACACTGCTGAGAATACCCAGCTTTGGTCGGCCCCTCCCCGCGCCCCGCACCTCCACACTGACACATGTTGAATTACCTTGTCGCTAGGCAATTATTTGTCCTGTACCGGCTTTGGAGTGATGTAAATTACTTTAAGTGCACTTTGCAGGGGCCGCCATCACGATAATGATGATTGCGGCGGGGATCTGACACACACAAATATTCAGCTATACCTTTAGAGAGAGGGGCTGCATTTAGGAAGGGACCTGAGAGGGGGATTCAAGACTTGTCAGCTAAGAAGAAGAAGAATCTCTCAGACTGATGAGAGGATGTGTGTGCTTAAGAAACAAAAAAGGGAGGGATGGAGACTGGAATGAGCGTCTTTCTGATTCCTCATCTTTTATCTGCAATGTATCCTCTTGACTGTTTCATTGGACTCAGTCGATACCACATTAAGTGACTCACACTCCAAGTACAATAAATACACATGTTTTTCCAAGCCTCCTTTCTTTTTTCCCCCTCTTTTTTCTTCTCCTGTCTGGCTTTCTAGAAGTTCACTTTGTTGTAGTCCCTCTAAGCTCCAGCAGGTGTCACTCACAGGGTTTCTATGCTTATTCCAATGGCTGCTGTTGTTACAGTGGGGGGTACATTTGACAAAAGTTGCTTATAAAATGCACAACAGACATGATTTGTCTCCACCAGATTTAGAGCAATGTCTTTTAAACATGAGAGGGCAATGCACAAGGAACACATTTGCTTTGTGTGCAGGAAAAGTGATTAAATAAAGGGTCTATTTGGAGTCCACACAGACTGAATGGTTTAATTTCCTGTCAATATCAAGTAACATGGAATACAAAGTTTTAGACCTCTGAGGCATTTCCAAACAGATGCCAAGTATTGTCTTCCAATGATTTCAAATCAATGAGATTTTCTAGCCCTAAACGTGGGAATTTTTGGCCGTTTTGGGAAATGTTCAACACATTCTGTGAGTAATGTATCTGTGACCTGACTGGATGATGACTGAGAGTACTTACATGTTATGCAGGACACACCAGCCGCAGTGAGGGTCTCCAGAGCTCAGGCACTCACCGCAGGTCCCGTACTGCTCGCATGACTCGATGGGAACTTGGGTGACCTGAAAAGCACATGAAAGGATCAGAGTTAGAGAGCAGCACGATAGACATCACAAGATGCGCAGGAAAAAAAAAAATAAACCTCAGGGTTAGAGTGTGTGCTAAAAAAAAAGCAGTTCATTCAGTCACACAACAACAGATGATTGAAGAAATTTCAGCTTCCACATGTGTATCAAACAATACGTTTGATTGTTCTGTGTTATGAAACGCTATGCATGATTCCCCCGGCTCCAGTATCGCAACAATTTCAATCTTGTATGATGAGCCTGATGCTCGAGATGATGTGCGTCATATGTTTGGGGTCAACTCTGCCCCTTTATGTCAATATGTGAGATGTCAACTGCACGGGCAACTGTTGCCTTTATGTGAGGCCAACGAAACAGAAGTGAGCAGGTGGGATCAGTTGGCTAGAGAAAGCTGTTTCTCTGCCATCAATGGCCTCTTGTCTGCAGCAGGGCATCTGTCCATGTAGGTACAGCCTGAACAAACACACCTACACATGGAGGAGGAGGGATGCACACTTTTCTCCAAAGTATGTGTCCAACTTGATTACAAAAATGTAAAATGTGAGGGGGGGGAGGAAAGTGATTAAAGACTTTTAAACTTTCAAAGCGATGTACAACTGCAGTACAGTCACAGAAAACATCAGAGTTATCAACTATTGGGTATACTTCCTCCCTCCCCCAAGCAAATGTAAAAATCATTACTTTAAAACAAACAAATGACAGCTACATAATTGTGCAACTGAAAAGCAATTATTAACGTTGTACTGTAAGTTCGTGCTTAAAAGAAATGACTGGAGATCAAAAGTGGTATTTCAAAGCAAAAACATGTTGAAAGTGTCAACAGCCGAGGATTTGACTAAGCACTTTGAGCACAAAGCAAACACACACTCCACACCACAAATCCACACTGCTCCACACAGGCCTGTTTGGACTACAGTCATTTGAATCGAGAACAAACATCCTTGTTTGTGTTTTACATTGAACGTACACAAATGCAGACTTGACAATTTACATATTTGGACGTAAAACACTAGAGAAGGATGAGTATCAAAAATGCATCTCCTCCTCTGCTGGGACTGTTCTCAGCTGCTGCAAAACACGCACTCATCCGTCTGTCAGTTATATATGTGTTGGTGTGTGTGTGTGTGTTGGTGTGTGTGTGTGTGTGTGTGTGCGTGTGTGAATCTAGCTGTGCCTCTGTCTGCGTCTGTTTGTCTGCCAGACAAGGTTCTGCTCAGCCACATGGCCCTCAGTCTGTTTGTGCAGCACAGAGTGTGATATGGAGGTCAGTGTGTGTGTGTGTGTGTGTGTGTGTGTGTGTGTGTGTGTGTGTGTGTGTGTGTGTGTGTGTGTGTGTGTGTATTTGAGTGTCAAATGGGGCTGTCCAGCTCGCACCTACATCCCCTGTCAGCAGGAGTAAACGTACGCACTCCGCGACACACTCTGCCACACAAACACCAGCAGAGGATCTGAATCCAACGGAGAGCAAAGGCTTTAAAAAAAAAAAAAAAAAAAAAAGAAACAAGTGAATTTCAGAGTCTAACACAGGTTAATTTACTGCCATGTCTGTCTTTCAGCTTCCTGGCAATTGCCTGGTTGGATAATGACAGCTGCCTGTGACAGTGTGTGCCCTGCTCAGCTCGGATCAATGCCTAATAAGTGGCTCCTCTGCAAAATGTGGGGGAGGGAATGAAAGGTGCAAAAAACACCATTTAAGTGTTGTTGTGAATGTGAACCCCCCCGTGCAAAATCGCCCACAACTGGGTGACATTAATTGCTGTTAGCACAAATGGCTCAAATTAACTGTCAGCTGCTAAGAGATAACAGCTGGGTGTCAATCAACGGCTATTTTCCATTATAATGTCTTTAATTAATTTTTTTTAAATGCAGCTTGTGGCGAAAATTTGTAACGTGTGCCTGCTATTTGTCATATTCACAAAGTGGCCATTTTTCTTCTCTCAAGATGAAAAACTCAAAAGTTTAATCTCATTTGACAAGCTGCTATCATTTACGTGCTTTTTAATGGATAACTGAAAAGTCAGTTAATTGTTAAATCTAGGCGTACATAATGTTAGGAAGATAAAACAATACCGTCAGCTAAGTTACGGACGCTAACAACATTCGACTAAAATCTGTAGCTACCATTCTAGCTAGCTAAAAATGCAGTTTCTTTACAGTTAGCTAGTGTTTCTTACAGCTGGCTAACATAACCATTAGACAGGATTTGAGACCTTTCCTTTGGATAGTTATGAAACATTTAAACTGTATCATCAGCAAGGAAGTGGTTGATTATGCTAGCTGTTGTCTAGCTAGGCTTAGCCTATATACCAAATATCTGAGCTTGAAATGCTGGTCAGTTGCTGGTCATATAAAAAGCTATGAAATGAAAGTAAAATGTTTAATGTTTTGCAGAGCTGGAACACATCAGTCTGTCGTTATAACAGCATTTCGTACCATGAGCATAGTATCAATAGCTGGTGTGTCAATATTATGAATGGTGCTGTCTATGAAGTCTGCACAAACTGTCAGCTGCTGTGATGTCTCTGAGCCATATGTGCTCCAGCATATATACTTTTCTTTGTTTTGGCTTTGCTCTTCAAAAAGCTCCACAACCCCTCCACCTGTCTGCTGGTCCTAAACCCTGCGGCAACAGAAAGACGAGCCCGGGGGGACACAAAGAAGGCCATTCACTCGGCGGGACGTTGACAGTCTATGTGCTGTGTGGCAGCCTCGATCCAGCATGGACACCCCTGTTAGATTAACCCCCTGTCACCTCGACAAACTCTGTGTGTGTGTGTGTGTGTGTGTGTGTGTGTGTGTGTGTGTGTGTGTGTGTGTGTGTCTCTCTTCTTGCTTCAGGACAAACAGGTGGCATGCTGTAATGAGCTGCAGACGAGGTCACATCAGCAGTAGAAGCCACGACTGATGACAAACAAGCCCACCAGGAGTGAGACTGGGCAGGAAACAGTCAACTCAGTCTGGAGGCCTATGTGTGTATCTCAAAGTGTCTGAATCCCCTCTTCACCCCCCCCTCCCCTGCCCCCTGCCCCCCCCCCAAAAAAGGACTTCAGATCCTTCCAGAACCATGTGCGAGGCTTTTGAGACTTTATAGTATAACTTTCACAGAGGGCCCAGAGGCTTGAAAGGGTTACAGTGTGGAGACAGCTGTCAGCGGGGGGGAAAAGTCGGGGGAGTTGGGGGAGGATGGGGGGGGGTGGGGTACCCTTATGGAGCTGTGTTTAAAAAGACAGACAGATGCAGCCCCGCTGTCAGCTGATGCCGACTGAAACGCAGAAATAAAGGTAACATGGAGGAAGAGTAGCGAGGTGAACCGGCAAACAAAGATCTGTAAACTGAAAGAGCACAGAATGAGGGAGATGAATGTGTATTCATCTCTGTGCTGTGTGTACTGTATGAGTGTGTGTGTGTGTGTGTGTTTGTATTGATGTTAAGGCCAGCATGGGCCAGTAGTGGAGGTGAGGGGGTGAGGGGGGGGTGGCAGGGGGGATCACAGCAGCTGTTGCCCAGCACACGCTACAGTCACTCAGCACAGCAGGGCTGCACAATGAAGCCCCTTCTCCCACTGTGCATGCATGTGTGTGTACGTGTGTTTGTACGCACACATGCACAGCGCCAACGGATGTGCAGATTTTTGTTCCTGTGTTTTTCAAGGAAGACAAAGAAGCTCTGCATGTGATCTGATATTGCCTCCAACTTTCTCTGCTCTCTGTCTCTGTTTAAAAAAAAACACATTCAAACAGTTGCCACAGCTGACCTGAGGTAGACGGAGCATTGTCGAGGAGCAGCATCGCTGAGCTCTGGTAAATGAATGCTAATAAAATTCCCGCTTCAGATGACCCAAGCGGGGGGTTATTCAACCAAAGAGGCTACAGTGGAGTCGCACAGTGGAAAAACCTGGGGGACTGACTGACAGCCGCGGGTTAAAACAACAGCTTCCTCTCTTCCAAAGGCTCATGTTGAATAGACTCCAGTTTCCATTCATGATGTCAAATCCTTAACTAATGCAGGGCAGTCGTCTCTACCTCTGAAACCTATACCCAGCAAGGGATTTGTGCACTATTAATAATGCCTAGCATTAACACTTCAGTCTGGACATATTTTTTAAGCAAAAATGCAAAAATCTAATCAAGTTAAATATCAAAATTGAAGACCAGTTTTTCTGGGGAAGGCAATCCTTTTTTTGTGTGTTTAAGCAAACGTAATTTTTGTGAAATGAAGTCTTCTAAATTCAACTTGGCATCATCCGCTGCTGTCGGGGTCCACCAACAAGAGAACTTTCCCCATGCATCTTTTATAAATAATGTATGTAGCTTATTTTTGTTTCAGTTGTCTCTTGAGAACAACAACTTCCAACAACAACAAAAACCAGGGAGGTGACAGTGTTGTCACAGAGAGCTGGAGGTTTGGGCATTGCATAATAAACCTGCTGCTGCCTTTAAAGCATGAGAAAGAATTCTCACTGTACATGCTTTTTTCCCCCCGTTTTTCTTTTTTTTCCCCCCCAGCCACCTGTGAATTGTGACTCCAGTTCAGCTCCTCTGACCTGCTGCCCTGAGAGCAGCCATGCTCACTGCACCTCTGTGATGGATGTGGACTTGGGCAGGATAGAAGAGGAAAACTGAAAAATATATAAAGGAGGATAGTGCAGAGAGGGAAGTGGTCAGCTGCTTTGTGTTCTGAAGAGGCCGAGTCTCTGCGGTGCCAGATGTGCCTTACGACGCCGAGCCAAAGAGGAAAAGAAGAATCCCATCGTCACCAGTAATGCAGAGGAAGCAGTTTTTGCGAGCAGTTGCCAAGGCAACAGGCCTGGTTCTGACCTCGGGAACACCCCCTCATCCAACAGCCCCCCCAAAACCTTGAGCAGTGTATGATAAACAGCTGGCACCTCTGGGACTTCCTGCCACCTACACCTCCTCTTAAGCATGTATAGACACACACACACAGGCACACAAATACACACAGTGGCGGCTCCCCTA